CGTCATTCTCCTTTGCTCTTTGGATACATATTCGCTTGAGCCTTCGTCAGAGAACGTTTAAAACAGAGAAGCAGCAATTACGAATAGCCGTGTGAATTGTCAAACACTACCAAAATCGCTCTAGAAGCTCACCACTCGAACCGAAAATTGAGAGCGGCAAATTAACAGACCTGAGCGGCAAGTTAACAGAGCTGAGCGGAGATACAATATTGTTAATTTGTATCAATGTTAAGTACTTTGGTTTGGATTTTCTTTTTCGCGGCATTGATTTAATAAAAAAAAAGATTAAAATTCTTGGTTAAATTAATGAAAATTAATTGACGAAAATATATGCCCGGGAATGCTTTAACTCCAAAACGTAGATTTGTTATCTAATAAATATGTGAAAGCTATGCAAATATGCAAACTCATTGGTGATTTGCCGTCGGCATTTGGGTCGCAAAAATCGATTTTTTTTTTAACGATTCTTATTTTAGTTGCCGCGCTGATTGCAACAAACCGCAGTTTTCTAGGTGCCTTAGTTTTTTCCCAAATTCGCTTTAAAGATGGCCATATTGACAAAAAAAGCCTACAAATGCGTACTCTTTGGTAATTTGTTGTCGGCATTTAAAAGCGAAGAAAAAATCAGTTTTTATTTTTTAACGATTGCTACGCTGCTTTCAATGCAACAAACCGCAGTTTTCTTGCTAGCAAATTCACTCAAAAATGGATACATTGACAAAAACGTACAAAAGCAGCAATTGCACTTGTTAGCAAAGTGGTTTTTCTCGAAAAGTTATGTTTGAGTTTTATGAACAGTTATTTCGAGAAAATATGCCATATGCATATAACCTAAGCAAATACCTTTTCTTAAAATCTCAGACCTTTTACTCGATTTGTTCAAATAAATTTAAGTGAAAGTTATGAAATTTTAAGTAAAAGCAATTGCTTAGTTTTTATGCATACGGACCAATGTGTTGAATGATGATTTTTAACTGCAATACTCGTATTGCATGTAAATAATGGGGCTTATTCATGGTCAAAATAAAGTTAGTTACAGCTTTTTCACATCATTTTCAGTGGAATAGGTATCTGTGAAAAAGCTGCAACTAACTTCCTATTAGGCATTTTAGTACACACAGATGCGATCAACTAATTAGCAACGAAATTCAAAATGATATTGTTTGCAAATTATGTTTATTTATTTGTTTTTAATAATTTCCTTTAAAACATTATTCAATCTATAACAGAAACCACAATAATAAAAATTTAAAAGCTTGCACAAATTGCATAAAAATTAATCAAACTTCAAAAAAAATTGTTATCAAGATTTCAATTTTTTTATTTTGAAATTTAGAAAATTTTCGGGTATGCAGCTTTGCAGCCCATTCAATGAAGTACACTAAAGTGCAAGTTTCTAGTCATTAAAAATTACCGTTGAATTTTTAGAATTTTTTTTGTGGAGGGTGTTCGCATTTTCTTCCATATACAGTAGACGCTCACAAATTAGAACCATTTTGTTTTTAGGGTGATTCTAATTTCTGAAAAATTCTAATTCCTGGACGTTTTTTTATTTCAATAAAACCTTAAAATTTAAGTCAATTTGCATTGAAAAACTACAATGAAATTTTGTCTTACTAAATTTTATTCATTAAAACGAGAAAACATAAGGTAACAATCCAATATACATATATGTATTTATGCGCTAAGTCAAAAAAAGGTCCAAAAAACAAAAACTCCAATTACAGTAAATATATTTTTTTTTATCAAAAATACATAAGAGATCGATAAATATACATTAAAACAGCCAAAAATTAATCAAAAACTTCGTAACTAATTTGCAGGCATGTAGTCTGTTATTGCTGTTTGCTTCTTCCTTTTATTTGTTTCTGCAATAACAATCTCATTGCGAAGAGCTAGCAGACTTGATCTTTTTGCAGTAGCTGTGCTAGTGGCACATCATCGTCATCACTTTCATACTGATCAGAGTCCCAGTTGTTCAACTTTGACCAGGACTTTTTTATTACTCTTTCTGGAACATCTTACCAAGCTTGCTTTAATAGCATGATTGCATTTCGAATTGAAAAGGATTTCAAGCGAACCTTGAGGTCACCTCCTTCAGCAATTAATTGAGAAAGAAGCATACTTCTGTAGTTTAGCTTGGTTAACTTAATAGGATTCTGATCCATTGGTTGTAAAGTTGCTGTTACATTTGGTGGAAAGAAAAATGCAATTATATTTCCATCGTCGCTTTGAAGTTTCTCAATTGGTGCATGAGCAGAGCAGTTGTCAATTAGCAAAATTGCCTTCGGAGGCAAATTATTTTCCTGAGAGAAACGAATCACCTGTGAATTGAAAATATTTTGGAATTACTGAACCTAAAAACAAAGTTTTTTCTTACCTCATGAATAAATATCTTGTGAAACCAATCATGAAAAATCCGAGATGTCATCCAAGCATTTTTTGAAAAGTTGTAATGGAGTGGATTATTGAATCCTTGGAAACTTCTTGGTTTTTTTGCTTTTCCAATTACTAATGGCATTAATTTATGTGATCCATCAGCATTTACACCAAGTAACACTGAAATTCGTTCCTTCTGGATTTTATACCCGGGGGCGGTTTTCTCGAAAAGAGAGACGTATGTTTTGTCAGGTAAACAACGGTAAAATAATCCGGTTTCATCTACATTATATATTTGTGACTCCATTAGCCCCATCTCATCGACTTTTGCACGAAATCTGTGAATAAACGGGGTGACTGAAGCAACATCACTAGAGAGAATCTCGCCACAAATTTTTAAAAAACGTATTCCGTGTCGTTTTTTAAATTTGCTAAACCATCCATCACTTGCGCTAAATGTACTTTCATCTTTATCGGGATATTCCACTTTGAATATTTGTTTGGCTTTCTCCTTTAGTATTGGCCCAGTTAATGTACACTTTTTTTCGCGTTGATTTAAAAACCACTTATAAAGACTTGCTTCCATTTTTGGATATTCAGCGATATGCAATGATTTTTTGTTAGCCTTATGATAGGTATTAGAAACAGCGCTTAAAATTGATGATTTCATAGATTTTATATAGGTGATTGCAGATGGCGCCACATCAAATTCTAGGGCTAACCGCTTCCCTTGAATACCTTGGTCAAGCTTTTCCAAGATCTGCACTTTGGTTTCCAAAGACAAAGTATTTTTCTTACGTTTATTTGGCATTTCAACGAACGACTTTTACTTTTAAGCAAACAATGCCGAAACACGTGCACGCGAATCGAATTTCAAACAAAAACTAACAAAAACTGTACAGATAGCGACGAAAATCCAACGACTACCGAGCGTAACATGAATAAATTGGGGATTCCCCTTTTTATATCTATTTTGCAACAAAAAAACAAAATACGCTCTGAAATTATAATTTTCGATTCTAATTTCAGAGCGTGTAATGTATTCAAAAAGTTGATTCTAATTTCTGGAAATTCTAATTACTAAGAGTTCTAATTTGTGAGCGTCTACTGTAACAGATAATCACAATTTTTTTTGTATGAAAAAAAAACAGCAACACCCCCACAAAAAAAAAAATCTATAAAATCAATGGTAATTTTTAACAACTTGAAACTTGCACTTTCTTATACTATAATTGAATGGACTACAATACTGCATACCCGAAATTTTATTAAATATTCTAATTAAAAATTTGGATGACCATTTCTTGAAGTTTGATTCGGTTTTTTGCAATTTGTGCAAGCTTTTAAACTTGTATTATTGTGGTTCTTGTTACAGATTGAATTATATTTTAAATTAAAATCATTAAAAATAAATAAACATAATTTGCAAACAATATCATATTAAATTTCGTTGCTAATTAGTTGATCGCATCTGAATGTATATATGTATGTACATACCTACAAATGTACATATGTACCCAATACACATACTCCAAAATCATTTATTGATAACGTTCTTGCACATGCACATAATATTACATATATGTATGTACATACATACTAACTTTCTTCTTATTTGGGGCTGACAAACTTTAACTTAACCCATTAGTGCATGAAGTTCCCTGGCGCTATACTTACCTTTTCTTTTATCATTATGCATTGAAATAAGTCTAATAAAGTAGTTTTAATTCGATTTATTAAAAAAAATGTGTTTTGGGGGTTTTGGGGACCGTCCCTTATAAGGGACACTATGCAGTATGGGCATTTGAAGTGTGATATTGCTTGAAGCATTCTTTCGGATGAAGCCCTTTCTCGCACTTAGTACATACAAAGTTAGACTTCTTTCCGCAATAGGCACATCTCTTATCCGTATTCGAGTACTCAATCATATGGTTTTTTCCATCGTAGCGCGCATCAGGGTTGATGCTGGTTCTACTCGATCCTCTTGAGGACGGCATTCCGTATCTCTCTAGATACGAATTGGCTATGTACCTGCGAAAAATTAGCAGAGTGCCACAATTTGGGTCGTTCGGATGAACTTTCCGCATAAGGATCCATGCGTTTACGATCGATGCGTCCAACAAATATGCAAATATGGGCCACCACCACTTACGCTGTCTAATTCTAGACCGGTACACAGCCACCATCTGGTCCATTTTATCAACGCCTCCCATGCCTTGATTATAGCGCTGAAGAAGTTTCGGCTGTGGTATCTGTATCGCACCTTGCCCTCTCGCGTAGCGCTTGCACGTCCCGATATCGATGGTATCAAAGTTGGAGCCAATGGTGACCACATTATTATCTTTCCATCTTACAACGAGAATCTTGCCATCGTCAGTAAAACGAAAATCGCTGGATCCTCGCTGCTCCTTTTTCATGGCGGCTATTTTACGAAGAGGACACTTCTCTATGCGACCGTCTCTAATTGTACCAGATGTACAAATCCCCATACTGGCCAAATTGCGCAACAGTTTCACGGACGTAAAATAGTTGTCGATGAAAAGCTATAATGTAAATTATATTATTATTGTAATATCATATGACGAACATTTCATTTCTTACCTTGAATCCCTTATGGTGTGGTACATTTGCTTTCGTGAGGAGATCAACCACTTTGTCACCTCCTACTCCATATCCTTGTGGGACGCTCTCTGCATTTTTGCCCATATACACATCGAACTGAAGCATATATCCATCGCTGGAATTCAGAGCCCAGTTTTTGAATCCAAATCGAATGGGCTTACCACGGATATATTGTTTAGCATAGTGCCTACCATAATACGGTATCATGCTCTCATCAATGGAGAGATTCTCGTCCATTCCACCATGCTTTAGAAACGCCTCGTTCAGGTGAGTAATTAGTGGCCTAATTTTGTAAAGCCGATCGGTACCCTGGGCTTGCGTGTTGTCATTCAGATGGAAATTATTTAGAATTTTCTCAAATCGATTCAGCCTCATGCTGTTCGCTAGCAATCTTGGCGGATCAGATTTCTCCGACCAATACAAACGTTTGTTGGGGTATTTTGCGTACCCCGACATCAAAATACCGCCAATAAAACTCTCGCCTCGTCCATACTCATTCTCAGGTCAACATTTTTCTGAAGAGCATATAAATTTGTCTGCTCAACACAAAAATTTATAATGCCTTCAGAAAAAAATAGCTCAAAGAAATCAGTAGGCGAACTGGCGGCTTGAGCTTCGGCACTCGGCGGTATTGTTTCGCATTCCGTTTGTATGTCGTACACCGGGTCCACTTTTCGCCAACGCAAGGCATTTCCCGCACGCACACTCGAACTGACGGTTTTTCTGTATTTAGCCAGTGGCTCATCGTCACTGTCACTCCAGTCATCGAATTCGTCTTGGCTCTCGCCTTCCGCAGTCAATAATTTCGGGCCGAGATGATCCAAGTTCGCCTCGTGTTCGTCATCACTACCGTCCGAATCCTGGTCGGTCTCATTTTCCTCCAATGGTGGGATTGCAAAAATGTTAAGTTCTTGCAACTGACCATCAAAAGCTTCGATCTCTTCCAGTATTTCAGCTACTGTTAGTCTGTAATAAAATATTATTGTTGTAATAAAATATTATTGTTAACTGTCCTGTCTGCATAGCGTCCCTTATAAGGGACACAACAACTTAAATTTGTTTATTACAATAAATTTAAGATAATTGCATTTAAAATTGTTAAATAATTTCACCTGTATTTATTTGTTATTCACATTTACTTACCTCCCACGTGTTCTGATATTTTTTTTTAGTTTTTGTTCCATATTTCGCAAAAAAAATCACACAATTTAAAGTTTACTGCACTGCAATCAATCACAAACTGGTTTGGTGTAATGTCAACAACTATACCATCAACTTACATGAGATCTGTATTGCAAAATGGGAGAGTAAGAGAGCAAAAGCTGACCGTCCCTTTAAAGGGACCTTATGCACTAATGGGTTAAGAGTCGACTTTATTTCGTCTACTAATATGCCCCAATAGTTTTGGAGTCAAATGAAAACGCATTTTCTACGCATACGTATGTACATGCTCCATTAATTGATAACGTTTTTGCATGCATATATATGTATGTGCATATTACTGCCAAAAAAACTACGAACATGCATATAAATGTATATATGTACAAATCACGGCAGCATACATACATATATATGCACATAATTACACGTATACTCAAATACAACAATAACTATTTCATTCATAAACGCATTTGCATATTTCTCAAGGCCAAGTAAATTCATTCATAAAAACAACCGCAGCACATCTCCCCGCAAATTCATCACCAACAAGCGCAACTTTGTCAATCCGACACAAAAATTCTAAAATCTTAAAATGAAGAAATCTCGGCCAGCCAAGTGAAAAGTGGCAACTATTTCTCTATAACCAGTAAAATAAGTTATCTCGAATCTTGGCAATTTTTGGTAATTTTTTGACAA